AATGCACAGTGAAAAACTAGAATCAATGTTAAAAATTTGGGTGTACTAAAGGCTGGCTAAGTACCGTGCAGCTAAGTTCAAAATGTAAACAAAAGCACGTGCAAGACTTCTAGCAACTGCACTCTACTATGCGCGCATGCGCTTGAAGAGGTTGACAAGGAGTTGTCCGACAAGTTCAAAGAGCGACCTGTCCTGCTGGACCGACCCTTCACCGCTGTGTCGTAAAACGAGCCGGGTGAGTGATACCGGGGAAAGAACAAGGTCACACAGGAAAAAATGCAATTAAACCTTACGGCGCTCAGTCACTAATTAAGCTAGCAGGACAAATGATACACTAAAAAAAGGTAATCTAAAGGCCTACCTTATCGTCTAAGAATGGTGTCGATATTCCTACTTAGACCGGAGATAATTGCAAATTAATCCAGAAGTAAGGCACTTTTATGTCGCACAATAAAAACACTGTAATAAATCGCACAATCACTTCACAATCACAGCACTGGTATCAATGAAGAGATCATATCTTCCACTTTCCAATGGTACTAGGATTGAAATTGGATGCCTGTAGGTACCAGAGAAATCTTAATAGATGTAAACACCACAAAACGGCACTTCACGGGGTCACGGTAACCCTCAGCAGATATCACGAGGTCGCGATACGAACAATGACTTCTGCCTTAAAGACTTAATTAATCCACCACTAATAAATAAATCTCTTCAGATGTATATCAAATTACTCAGCTTTTGAAGAACTTTAAATTGATACAACTCTTGTGTAAACTATATCAAAACTAACTTAAAATAAAAAGACGAAAAGCGAGCTCGCGAAAACACGTCGTACAGAAACAGATGTGTCTCCAGACATTAAAAATTAAGGGGTATGCGGTAAATATCTTAAATAACAAGCTTGGCCGTCATAGCTTCTCTGTGTTTCATATGTAGTATAATTGCTGTAATCCAAATATTGTGGAAATGAATGCACAAACACTATTCGAAGCACTGGTCAGTCGCAAAAGCGCAGTTTTCACAAGTCCAATAATTAGAGTATAAATTCGTAACTACGCTTCTAATTGACGGATTTTCTTGAACCAGATTGATGGAGGCAGTTGAGGATCCTCTGTGGTACTCGATATTACTTCTGCAGCAAGGCAGTATTTCAACTCCGGGATGGCTCTCGGAAGAGAATGGCGAGGTGAAATAGCCCTCCCAAAAGCATCTTAGATGTGCTCTATGGGGTTAAGATCAAGATAACTGGCAGGATAATCCATTAGCGAATATCCTTACTTCCCAGATAATTGTCGACCAGCTAAGCTCTTCGTGGAGAAGCATTATCTTGATTAACCATTTTTTGCCAATTTGACAGCAAGGGCTTAGCTGGGGGGCAGTAGGGGCCACGAAATCTGCAGTTGTTCCTGGGCGCTGAAAACTCTAGCTACGACTCTGTTTGACTGTTCGTAACTCGAGACACAGTTTGTCATCTGATCAGATAATTGGTTCTCGATGTGAGGCGTTCTCGACACGAAGTTGCACTGTACTGAAGTTCGTTCAGCCACATTGGTTCGCGATGTGAGGCGTTCTCGATACGAAGTTGCACTGTACTGAAGTTCGTTACGTCACATGTGTTTAGGTCATCGAGGAATCGAAGGGATTTAGACATATCATGTTTAAAATTGAACTGAACAGCAGGATTAATCGAATATACGATTGACAGAACTTTATCTAAATCTTCTCTGTTACCGTCAAGTACAGCAAATATATGGCTAAAGGAGCGGAATCAGATTGTGGGACTTAATATTTTAAATAATTTGGATTCATAATGATAAGAAATAGAATTACTTTATACAGGCTAGTGGAAAAGATTTCAGAAGCGTTTTAAATGTATTTTCTGCTTCTCATATCTCAATTTTACGTAGAAAAAGTTCAAAATGGAATATGTCGGCCTATTAAAGATAATTATATGGAAGTTCTGAAATAAATAAAATTATACTAAACGAGTTTTTATATTAGAAATCAGTACTTTTCAATATCAAAGCACACTGGAGATGTCTTTAAAGCTAAAAGCTGGTCTGACAAAATGTTAATAGAAGCTTCTAAAATTTCTTTCTTCACCGTTACGATTTGATATTTTTAATAAGATTTATTCCGTAAACATATGTTTTTTATAAACAGCACTCTGCCACAAAAATAAATATGCACCCTCAAGGAAACGAACTACTATCACGAAACGTAACATATATGTAGTGCGTGAGGAGATAAATAAATAATTACAAATTCAGAACAAGAGATCGCTTTATTAAGAAGTTATGGCATGAAAAATTTACAAATCAGTAAGTAGTATAGCCCCCTCTGGCACAAACCGAAACACGGCGTGGCATCGAATCAAGTAGGTCACCTATGACCCCTGTGGAAGATCATACGATAGTCTTTGCAACTGGGCAGTTAATTCACCAATATTCCGAGACGTCTGCAGGTGACTTCTGAGCATGTCCCAAACTTGCTTTATTGGCGAGAGGTTTGGTGACCCGGCGGATTACGGGAGTATGTCATATCTTTGAAAGCGTTGTAGGAAGAGTCGCGCAGTATGTGGACGAACATTATGCATCAGCAAGCATAAAGCATTAACGGTGTTAAATGTCATCCACGTAACTGCGAGCCGTCATAGTGCCTTGAAGGACGACTAGAGGTGATCGTGTGTCCCAACAAATCGCTCCTCATACTGCCACATCTTGTGTAACCGCAGTATGTCGCTCGATGCCGGATGGGACCGCTGGCCTGGCCGCCTCTGCACGTGTGTGCTTTGGTCATCAGCACTGAGACTGAATCGGGATTCCTCGTTAAAGATCACACGCCTCCAGACTGTCACTCTCCAGACTCCCCCGGTAGTTGACTCAGGCGAACGCCTGGGAAGTACTAGTTAGGATCTGTACCTAGGCAGTCTCAACCACGGGGTATATAATTTGACTTCACAGGACTAGATCCCGAGTATTGTACTCAGGTTGGTTCAGGCTTGGCAGGGACCGTGCTGGTACTGTCGTGTCTGTTCTTCCGGCTGTGGTGGAGCTATATAGTATATTTGTCGACTAAGTTCCCGAGGGTTTGACCCCATTTAGTTCTCGTGGCGGGGACTGACAAGGCGGACACCTTATTACAATGTGGTTTTGCCGATGGAGTGGTGCCCGGCGGCAAGGTGACAACGTATTAATTTCGCAACGTTACTGTTCTGCTCAGTGCTTCGTAAATGCCGGGCGGGGACTGCGGGGTTGCGCCCTCGAGAACGAGGTCCCACGGACGTAGGATACCCCAAACTCTGAATGGGTCCCACATAATGAGGACCCTGGGACGGAGGTCCTTCGTCCGGTGTGTCTATTGTAGTGTGAAAGTCGCCGAGTGTGAAGGTTGTCTCTCAGCAGCTCGTCGTTTCAACTGTGCATATGCGGAAATATTGAAGGAAGCTCGACAAAAGTCATATATTCTTAAAGAGGAAGACCCAAGGAGTCCGTGGATATCAAATTTATTACTGTACGACGTATATGAAAATTTTTATGGAATTTTTTAGTATTTCAACGAATTCACGCATCGTCTAAACCTCGCACAAGGTCTTTAATTAGCCGTCCAGTGGCCGACGCCTAAAGGATTGTCCTGAAACTTATATCAATAGAAGCGCAATATCAGCAGGATCATTTTAAGCCCAAGTTCTACTCTGAGGAATAATTAGAACTCAAATTATCGGCTAATTAACTTATTTTCACGTGGAAATCTGACCTCTGACCTTTTGCTTCGACTCGACCCACGTCCGGTTCAACTGCCCCCCCCCCAGGGAAGCACAATAACATGGGACGGAAAGCCAGCTAACAAAGGATACTGGAGAATTGTTTCAGAAGGCATCGCGGCTCTAATTATTACGCTACAATCACAGGACCATATGCATATTTCCTTACGAAATGTGCGAAGCATAAGTTACTAATTTTCAAAATAATCGGCCCAGTAGTTCATTTTCTACACATTTTCGCTCGATTTTCCAGACTTAGAATTTTTCTCATGTATTCATAGCAGCAAGCTTGTAAGACATCCTAATTAAGCGTGTTACTAATTATTGACTTATCCCAAGATTACGTGTTGTAACCTCTACCACGTGTTTTAGCGATCAAGTGTGTGCTACAGTGTACAACTGTGTGCATTTTATTGTGTTGTGTTAGTGTTATAGTGATTACGTTGTGATTTACATCTTTAATTATCGCCACTGCTAGTTGGATTTAAAACAGATGAAGAACTGCGTCCAAGGTAGGACCTCACTCTGTCTCTTATTAACAGTCAATCTATCATTTGCATATCCAGCATACTTATAATTAATATTACACCCCAGTAATAGTCCCATTTTTTTCAGTTAATTATTTCTTAAATTTACTACAGTCTTGTTTTACAACCAAATCCTCAGTCCTGATTGCTACATCTGTTATTATTTCAATCTGAAAGGATATGTTATCTATTTCTGTAAATGAAAGTTTATGTCAATGCACTCTTGCTGCCTTATTCTATGATTATTTAATTCAGTAAATTCATGCCTCACAATCTAACTATATTAATTATCATGTTATCTGTAATTAAAGTACCTATTGCTTTTAATTAAGCGTATAAAAGCGTTTGCTACAACATTTATTATTGAATTCAGTACTGATTAGAAAATACTTCTGTTATCATGTAATAATGTGTAATGTTCAAGTTACTGAAGCAATTAATTCGTATATGTATATACGCATAATTATCTATATTCTCATTTAACTCGTATATGTATGCGCCATTTCAATGATTGCGGTTCAAGCTATATTCATATATGCATTATTAATCTCAAGTGTTTGTTAATAGCTTAAATAGTCTCTGCTATATTTCCAGTTTTTGTTATAATATTACTATTTCTGTTTACACTATTCCACACACTCACCTACACAGCGTCTCACAATGTTATAACGAAATACACCTCTTCCACCTATTCTTCAGTGACGACAATGAGAGCACTCCCGTATGCCAAAAAGCCTCACAACCCAAGATTCTCCACTATGATACAACAGGAAGGCACCGGTACTGAAATTCCAACCAACCAGCAGCAATTGATATTTACTCCCGTTGTGTTGAAATTGCCAACGCGCGGCATAGCTCCAGGTATGTCATACCAGCTGCTTTAAGAGAAGAACTCAATGCCCTCCTCACTGCTCTATTCAATCTAGCCTCAGATCACACCACTGATGTAACTACTGCCACTGAAAATAACTTCTGCCTCCCCAACACAATAGCAACAAGCACAAAATTTCACCAAACTAATGACATCCAAACAGCAGTACGACCAACTACTCCGACAACTGCAAAATACCAGCAAAATAACTCCCATCCCAACTGTGTTCCTCAGTACATTGTCCAACAACTCATGCTCCAACGCAACAACACCACAATGAAATCCCAAAGGAGCAAACTAATCTGACCCAGAATCCTCCAACAACGAGTATGCATCCAGCAGCCAACTTGCCTAACAAGAACGAGCCAACTCTACTGATATACGCCAAGGACGCCAGAAGCGTAAACAAATTACAAGATATGCTCCAAGAGATTATTCCAATAGAAAACATCCAATCGCAAGTCAATAAAATTGTTCCAATAAAACAAGGCGGGCTAGCAGTTAAATGCAATGCACACGAAGATGTAATTAAAATCAATCAGCTGCTCAACAATTCAGAAAAGGCAAAACAACTAATTATCACCAGGATTCCTAAAAAGAGAACACCGAAATGTACAGTGCACCTATTGCCATCGCATATTACGGCTGAGGAAGTTCGAAATACCATTGCAAGAGCAGCGGAATGTAACCCTCAAGACGTCACCCCGCTATTTAAACTGAATGACCGAAAGAACACTATAAAATGGATAATTGATTGCACGCCAACTGTCTTCCACAAATGCATCTCTCTTAGGACTGTTAACTTTGGATGGCGATACAACCTTATCACAGAATTCATAGGAGCACATCGCTGCCGCTGCACAAACTGTCAAGCATTCAGTCACCGTACAAAAGAATGTGAATACCACTCTCACTGCGCTTACTGTGGTGGAAAGCACAAAGAAGGCGACTGTAATGCTAATTCCCCAAATTGCATCAATTGCGAAATTAATAACCTACACTACGGAACAAGCTATACCTGCAACCACCCAGCGTATGCCAACTCCTGCCCATCTTACAAAGAGGAAACAACCAGAATTAGATCTAGAACACAATATCAGGAGTAGTTCGATAACATTTTCATAATATTCATCATGTACCAGCATCCAATTTCATTAATCAAGTCCGAGCTCAAAGCACTCCAAAAATAAATCTTCAGAGGTCGAAAACTGCCACCGATACACTAGTACAATACGTCTACGTCTCCGAGAACTACTATGATGTCATCTTCGCACAGGAGCCCTAATTGCAACAACGGAGCCCAATATTCCAACTACATGGAATATCTTCTCGCAACATAACCCAGTACCTGACAAAACCCCAAGAGCAGTTATCTTTGTCATCAATAAATCATGGTCTCCTCTTGTGATCAAAGATCACAGAGACATTGTTACCATTGCTATAACAACTGCAGGCACGCAGCTCCTCCTAACAGGCGCTTATGCATCTCCAGCGGAGGACCTAGACATCACACTGCAAGAAATCAACCACAATCTACAAAGCATGCAAGTCCCCCAAGTCATCTGTGGCGACTTCAATGCTCAAAACCGTCTATGGGGTTACCACTTCACATCGCCACGTGGCTTACAGATGGAAGACCTAATACACTCTCAGAATTTAATACTCCACAACAACTCTGATGACTCACCTACTTTTGAAACAATTAACGGTAAAGGTTGGCCAGACCTTCTACTTACAACCCACCATCTGATCAATAACATCACCAATAGAAAAATCAGTGACGACCACTCCAATTCTGATCATCACTACATCACCTTCGAAGTCAACATGCAAATTGAACAAATCCATACAATGCGCTTCAAAATCAATCAACAAACGGAGAAGAAATTCACCAAATCTCTAAGAAGGATCGCCAACAACATTCTGCAAGAACTCGCCACATGCAATTCCAAAGATGAAATCAATGCAAGCGCAGAAAACACCACTCGACAAATCCAAGAACTTTGTCAAAATACACTAAAAATAAAAAAGGCCAACCAGTCTACAAGAGCCAATTGGTGGACAAAAGATCTGCGAGCTGCAAGACAAAAACAAGAGCCCTCAGAAGACGTATGAAAACTCGCACCACAAAGGAAGAGCGAAAATCAGCATGGATTGAGTATAATAAACAACGGGCAGTATACAAGAAAATGATAATTACAGCTAAATTACAATCATGGAGCAAATACTGCACTGCCAATCAAGACACCTATGGCACCCTCTATAAAATGGCCACATCAAAAATATTTAGACCTACGCAAATACATGCCACCCATCAAATCCAACAAAATAACAATGCAGATACCACGCTGGACACCCTCAATGCAATAATGGATGAAGTCTTCCTTAAAGATGACAGCAATCAAGACACCCCTGAACAAGCACAAATGAGAGCTAACGACAATCTCCCCTCCACTGCTGACGACATCCCATTTACTAAACATGAATTGAGGCAACACGTCAAATCCTTAAATAATAAGAAAGCCCCTGGCCTTGATAGCATACCGAACAAAATTCTAAAAATCATATGCAGGGAAACTCCAGATCTTCTCTACTCACCCTCTACAACAAGTGCCTGGAATACAAATGTTTTCCAGACTGCTTCAAGATCGGTCAAATAGTCTTCTTTTCCAAGAAGAATAGAAACCCAGAGGATCCGCGCTCATACCGTCCGATCAACCTACTACCAGCAATGGGCAAATTACTAGAGCGACTGACAATTACAAGAGTCAAGTATCACCTCTATAAAAATAACAAAATCAAAATCAGCAAGTATCAGTTCGGATTCAAACCTCATAGATCTACTACTCACGCAATTGACTCTGCACTCTCAGAGATCTCAAAGAATAAACAACACCAAATGTATTCTGCACTTCTATGCCTGGACCTCCAAAATGCTTTCGACTCTCTCTGGTGGCCAGCCATAAAACAGGCCCTCAGAGAGATTGACTGTCCCAAAAATCTTTACCAATTAATAACTTCTTACCTCGACAATAGGAAAAGCATCGTCATTTACAACAACTCAACCATCTACAGAAATCAATCTAGAGGATGCCCACAAGGCATCCTTCACCTTCAATCACATTATGTGACCACACCTGGCCGGAGTACACCGAAATTGTGGCCTTTGCCGATGATGTTGCTTTTATCGTCAAAGGCTCCACCCGCGACCATCTTCAAGAAAATTGCAACGTTACGCTTGACATCTTCAACCAGCTGTGCCACAGGATTAAACTGCAAATCTCTCACTCTAAAAGCCAAGCCCTGATTATTCACAAGCTTGGACGCTCCATCACCAGATACCCAATTCTGAAAATAAAGGCAACAACAAATCAAGTGTTAAGTCCATTAAATACCTTGGCTTAATTATCGACCATAAGTTCAACTGGATCGAACACCTTCAACAGAAGAAACTCACCACCGCCAAAATTGCTCAATCCCTAAAGACTATGAGAGGTTACTCCTGGGGCCTCAACAGCAAAATCATGAAAATATTACTCAAAACTGTAATCAACAAAATCATCACCTATGCAGCAGCAATATGGGCATTTCCAATGACAGAGCGCAAAAGAAGATTATTAAATTCAATTCAGCGACCATTCCTACTCAACATAACAAGAGCATATGTCACAACTTCAACAAACGCCCTGCAAACACTCGCCGGAGTTATTATTCCCCTACCAATAGAAACTCAAGTAGAAGCAATCTCGACAATAGTATTACAGCTAAGAAAACCAGCAAAATTCGCAGATACCATGTTCCACCCTGATGAATATGAAGAAAAACCCCAAAAATACCAGACACATCCAGCCTTCAAACTCCATAACCTCCACTGCAACTTCAACCAACCTCCTCCTAACACCAATATAACAGCTTTCACAGATGGATCCAAAATTGACAATAAAGTGGGCTGTGCAGCAACAATCTGCATCAACACCAGTACACCTCAATCAGCACCAGCACAAGTTCACTCGGAATGGCAGGGGCACCTGAGATCAAATAACAGTGTCTACCAGGCCGAATTAACCGCTATTCGCCTCGCCATCAACCACCTGCTACGAGACCCAACAGACACCATTCATATCGTGACAGACAGTCAGTCATCTATACAAGCTATTCAAAGCTTCTACACACCAACTCACCAATAGCACAGGACATCCAGAAGACCATAAGGACAAGTAATAAGCAGTTCATTCTCTCATGGACCAGAGGCCATAATAATTGCGAAGGTAATGAGAGGGCGGACTTCCTTGCAAAACAGGCAGCACTTGATCAAGTCGGTGACGGTATAAACATCCCCTGGCCACAATCGGCATTAAAATCAAAGCTCAAACAACTTGCAACTGAGACATGGCAGCAAGACTGGGAAAATGGTACAACAGGACGACGTACCTGCAGCTTTTATACCGAAGATAGACGATACACGCACAGTATCCAACTATTTCTTGACACAATATATCTCAGGTCATGGCCCTTTCCCTACATATTTCTTGGAAAGAAATTTTACTTCAACTGATTTGTGCGTATGTGGGGAAAGAGGCGACCCTGACCATTATATCTTTCATTGCCCACTAACCGCCAACCTACACGTCAAACACCCTACTCAAGTGGGAATGGAATTTAAAAGATTCCTAATCAACCATCAACACACCTACAAAAACATTAAACTAATCATAGACAAGCTACAACAACAAGGTAGAGAACTATGCCACTCATAAATAACAAAACGGACGTAATGATGAATACCTAGCAATCGAAGTGCCACCACACAGCTGTCCAAAGAATCATGACTGTTTGCTCACCTCCACTGAAGAACGACACCTAATCTGCAGCTTCACCATTTAACTTTCCATGGAAACAATCTAAGGTACTCATATGATTCAAATATGATATTCAACAGGGAGTGCTCCTATCCTAAGTCATCACTATTTATGTGAGTGATGATTATCAACTACCAGTGCCTTCAAACTGCCAAAGCAAGCGCAGTACTTTGAACTTTACACTATTATCTGATGCTCATTATACAAAGTGCTCTCCATGCTGCTGCGCACAATTCTGTGCACATTGAACTCTATGCACAATGAACTCTGTGCAAAGTAAACTCTGGCAAAATCTGTGCACACAATCACAACGATACCACCAACACAAAAATAACATAGCATTATAATTCACATCACATCCATTTTCCCAAATGCTAAGGCATTCCCCCAAGCACACCAACAAATGACAAACTGCAACACACCTAATTAATTGTAACATGTTATCTCCATATTGATTCCTGTATACCAATATATCTGTACCTCGATTACCTTTACCCCAGTTTATCTGTATAATTGTTCTTCCTATGTAAATAACTTGTTACTTTAATGTAATTTATTATGTCAACTGCGTAATGTAATGACTTGAAATGTCATTATTTGTCTAAATAAATGCCAGAAAAGGTTAGTGCAGTGGGGCAATACCATTTTTCTGACGATTGTGGGCCCCTGCACTTGGCCGCCTGCCGCCACTAGATTTTCGCCTTTTTATTAAAGAAAAAAGAAAAATAGCAAAGTTTTCGCATTGTAAAAAACGGTACTAGAGCCATCTTTGAATACATCGTCAAACTAATAGGGGATCTGGAACCCAACTGATTTTTAATTTTTTTTATTATCTGATTGATATTTTGTAAAACTTGACGAATTTTGATTAACAAACTCAAATTTCAAAGCAAACAACGGCAACACAGTACGTGGGAAAAAAAAAGAAAAAAATTACGTGCAAAGCGCAAAACCGTGTATCGGAATTCTATTCTAAAGTATGCTCATTTTTAAAATTATTTGCGATATTGCTGTTGAACTGAATTTTATGGTTTAAGTGTAAAGAACATGATAGTTGATAAAGAAAGGTAACACACAAAACGTTAAAAAACCGCCCCTTTGGGCGTAATATAAAGTCTGAAAGCTTTCCTTTTTTTTCTTCTTTTTCTTTTTACTTATTAATTTGAGCAGTTAATTCTGTTGCGGTTTGAATGTTCTTATGTGGGGGTTCTTTTCTTAATCGAGTTTCCCCCCTGTGGGTTTTTGCCATTTTTCTGCATATATTACTTAAACGGCCTATAAAACGTTAGTAAATTTATTTAAAGAGGGGTGGTCCAAAAGGGTTTCCCCTGAGCTAAATTATATATACATATATAAAACCCATCAAAAAGACTTTTTCCTGAAGAGGTAAGTGAAATTTTTTTTCCTTGTGCGCTTCGTTTTAAAAAAAAAGTTGCTTATTTTTAATATTTTGTATTTCTTTTTGGCTAGATCCTGGAAGATTGGAAAGCAGAGGTTGTGCAATTCTCTGATGTTTTTTAAATGAAATAGATCGATAGGTAATGGGCAAGCCAATGCGTGCGCAATGCGAGTTTGTGCAATTCTCTGATGTTTTTTAAGTTAATAGATCGATGTGCATGGGCAAGCCAATGCAGTGCGCAATGCCGAGGTGTGCGCGATGCCGAGTTTGTGCAATTCTGGGATTTTTTTGAAGTGAAATAGATCGATGTGCACCTGGACAAGCCGATGTGGTACGCCATGCCGAGGTTGTGCGCGATGCCGATTTGTGCTATTCTGGGATGTTTTTTTAAGAGAAAATAGATCGATGTGTACATGGGCAAAGCCAATGCAGTGAGCAATGTCGAGGTTGTGCGCGATGCCGAGTTTGTGCAATTCTCTGATTTTTTTTAATTGAAAATAGATCGATGTGTACATGGGCAAAGCCAATGCAGTGCGCAATGCCGAGATTGTGCGCGATGCCGAGTTTGTGCAATTCTCTGATGTTTTTTTAAGTGAAAATAGATCGATGAGTACATGGGCAAAGCCAATGTAGCTCGTAATGCCAAGTTTGTGCAATTCTCTAATGTTTTCTGAGTAAAAATAGATCGACTTGCGCATGGACAAAGCCAAGGCGTTGCGCAATGCCAAGTTTGTGCAATTCTCTGATTTTTTTGTGAAAATAGATGGATGTGTACATCGCACCAAATTTTGTAATTCTTGAAGTTTTTTCGAGGAATACAGATCGTTGTGCACGTGAACAAAGCGAGCTGTATTTATACCAGCTTAATGTAACGTATTTTTATGCATTTTATGTGTCGTTGTTGTATTTTAAATTTGCATGTTGTTTTAATTGCAAGTTATACTTTAGACTCTTTTTTATTGTATTTTAATTGTTTGGTGTTGATGTTGATAATGCTTTCCGAAAATATCGATAATCCGACGATCTACTCAACAGTATCAAAATTTGACCCTATAAATAACTTATCTTTTTTTTTATTTTAATACGTAGTATTTGCTATGGCATTGCACTTGATAATATGAGTTCTTGATAATATGTGTGTGTGTGTGTGTGTGTGTGTATGTGAAGCATGCTTATGTTCCAAATGTTGTGTTTATTTTCTTTCATTGTGAGAAATTATTTTTTTTACTTGTAGAATGTATAGAATTTAGTATAGGACTATAGAACTATGACGTGATTTAAGAATTTAAGAAACAGTGATATGAAATCTGTGTATGATGTTGATCTGCAATAAAAATATTTATTTTATTAATGTAAAGTTTAAATTTTTTAGAAAATAATGAAGATTGTCTACTTACTAGTATCTAACGGGTTGTGTCGTTACGCAGCAACAAGGTAAATGGTAAAAATGATAAAATTAAAATGTTCGATATTATGAATTTAAATTTGTTGGCAACAACTCCAGTACCCCCTCAAAAAAACAGGGAGGAAATAGTTATTGATTCTAGCGTATTGGCAACAGAGAGCAACCAGACGAAAACCGTTGAACTAGCATTTTTTTTTAGAACTTGAACTCGATTTTTGGTGTTTTGAATCGGCTGCAATCTATATTGTTTTTTAAATGATTATTCGGTACTTTTCCGTTTTGCCGCGCAAGCGATAAAGTCGCCAATAATGATACACCTGCCAACGGAAATCTTTTCGCTGGTACTTTTTACGCCTCATTTTGAAAACAAGTCGCAGCTTTTCTTATCAATTGATTGTTTCTTTTCAATACTGGCATATAATTACATAGAATTTTTATCAGATAGTCAGTTTATGTCTAATAGGCCATTTTCGGTATTAAGTCAATTAGGATGCAATCACAGCGCTTCCCCGAGCCGAAAATATAGAAAAGGAAAGTCAAGGGTTAAATTCATCAATTCTAATGAGAAGCATTAGCGAAGTAAAGCACTGCAGTTTTACATAATTCTGAGTAAGCTATTCGTACAATTGAAATATTTCTGCATTTAAACTTGTTTTCCAAATTAGATTTTAACTTGAAATAATGTAGATAATGGCTGAGACATTAGATTTTTGTACAGTAGTTTACGTGAGATGAGATCGCTTGGGGTCACGTGATGAACGGGCGAATCAGAATGTTGAACCATGAAAGCATATAAATTCTTAATTATGTCTTTTTAGAAATTTATTGTCTTTATTTATGGCTTTTTATAAAATTTTAAGCGATATTAAATTTTATGCCTTCAAAAAAGAATTCTTAGAACTAACATTTTTTAATATTTTTTATGTGTATACTGTATGTTGTCGCCAATAAATTCTGCTTGGCGAGATTTGCGCCAGCGAACGCAAAAGTACTAAAAGATAAATTAAAATTTTCGATACTATGAATTTAATTGTGACAACTACTTAAAAGAAAGAAAAAACGAGGGAAATAGTTTTTTTGATTCTAGCGTATTTAACAGAAGAAACCAGACGAAAACCGTAGAACTAGCACATTTTTAGAACTTGAACTCGATTTCTGGTAGTCTTTGAATCGGCTGCAATCGGATATTTTCTTTAAATGATATTCTTGTAAACTAAAAATGTAAATATGTTATGTCAATATAACCCCCCTCCAAAAAATCAAAATCATGTGTAATTATTTTACGTTAATCATCCACAAAAGAGTTAGTATTTTTCTAGTAACTACCGGAATATAATCCAGCTAAAAAACATAAAAGGGGGGGGGGTAAGTCGTTGAAATTAAGTCCTTATATTAATAGATTTACTTAAATTGGATTAAATACTATTTTATTAAAAGACACGCAATAATTTGCAACATTCTGATATAATTACCGCATAATTTAATAATAAAAATCTTTTTTATTTTTAAATTCTAAAATCTTTG